GTTGTCAACCTTATTTTGTACGAGTATAGGCGTTGCCGGGAGCACACATACAAGCGATTACGTCGTATTATCAGTTAATTACTACTACACACCCGATTCGATGTGTTGACAGACGGATTTTAATAAGTAGATATTTATTTGTAAATAGCGTGCAATTTGGCATTTTCTAAATAATTTGCATGCGAAATTTGGAAACGATTGTAACGTCAAAACACATCTCGTGTTGACATTTATACGTGTGAATTGACGTGTTAGTGGCATTTTAGTGGCTACACGGGCTCCGCCCACACCCCCGTTATATTATGTATGTGTTATAGTATTCTATGTATATAAAAATACTCTCGGAAAACATAACCCTCTTTCTGGAACAGTCGCGTGTAAACTTATCAAAACTGCATATCAATAACGACATGTAGATTGAAGCAAATAATATTTACTACCAATAGAATATATTACTGTTAAAGAGACACCAATTAATTCGCATCAATTTGTAATAAAGAATTAGAAATATATCATCAATATTATTGGTGTACGGAAAAATTTAAACATTTCTTCAAATTCTTTGGTACCCTTGGGTAAAAGTTAAAATAAACCACGCATTATAAAAGTATAATATCAAATACGACAAACCTTTCCGGACGTACTAAAAAATGAAGCAGTAAAAAATATGATAAAATACTTTTAAATATTTCTTCTAATTAAGATATTATTCATGCAATACTATCAACGCAACTTTCTATTACACGCTACGGCTACACGGGCTCCGCCCACACCCCGTTCTATTATGTGTGTATTATAGTATTCTATGGGTATAATATATTCCAATATGGTTGATGTTTACCGTGAACAAAACACTAACTAACTCATCTTATTATACAAGGATACTACTTCTTTGAACAACTTGACTTGTCGCAACAGCTCGGCTGTATTGTTTCACATTGGTCTGACCTTACATTCGCGTTACTCATAAATAAATTGCGTTGTTTATTCAACAGTGATTATGACACAACTCTCTAGATGATTAAAACTACTTTTACGGATTTTATCGCGTTTATTTTTACTTTTTATTTACTTTTATTTTTAATTCCCGACGTTTCGGGCGCTGGGGTGGTCCACACCCAGCGCCCGAAACGTCGGGAATTAAAAATAAAAGTAAATAAAAAGTAAAAATAAACGCGATAAAATCCGTAAAAGTAGTTTTAATCATGTATAGTGTTCGCGTAAATATAAGAAATCACAACTCTCTAGAATTGGTGCGACAATGTAATGATTTTCTATTTCATATTTTTAACGAATTTGAAACTTAATGGTGATATCAATATTAATCCTTTGAATTTTGGCTTAAATCCGATAGATGTAGAAATATTTTTTTCTAACTAATATCCAAAAATTAATTATAATGTTTGTCGAAAACATCTTATTATAATTGCCTTCTTTGACAATTCTTCACAATGTCATTTACAGTTACGTTAGTTATTTACAAACAAGAATTAACTACACATTCAACTAAACTAATTTTACGCATTTTAACGCGTTAAATTGTACTTTAAGTATTTTAATTATTTAATTATTAAACATGTTCAGAAACGTCGTCTCCGTCTTAATATCAGATCTGACAAACCACAAATCGCTCGCCATTCCTCTACTCTGAAACTGACTCCTGCATAAAAATGAGTCTATTCAAATCTCTAAATTATATAAAAATCTATTTCTGTTCGTTACTCTAGCAAAACTCGACAATGGCTTCACCGATTTTGATTAAAATTTGGTGTGTATTTGTGTTACCCTGGATGGTTTAGATTTACTGGTGCCGTTGTCGAGATCCAGAAATCACCCGTGCAGACATGTGGATCGCTAGTTCAAAATATAACTAAATACAGTGGAGAAGATAGCTGCTTGCAATACCATCTGGCATTAGGACTACAAACATCTCAGACCACCCCCCGACCATGAAACGTCAGGAATTTTAAAAAATCTGAGTGTAATTAAACATGGACACTCATATATACTCATATTTATTAACCGTGTAGCGACGGTATCATAATATCCACTAAACCCATATCGTCTGTGGGTGTCGTGAATTTTAAAAAGCCTTTCATGATTTATAACTTCACAGTGCCAAACAAAAACAAGTAAACATTCAACGTAGTGATTTATACTCTGAGAGTATCTAACTTTTTAGGCATGCCCCTTGTGCGTCCGTAGTAGTTCATAACCAAGCGCCCGCAGTTAATTTAATACAATGCACGGGTTTCATTCCCGCCAACAAAAATTAAATCGTTAATTGCAATTTTAAGTGTTGATTTACTAAGGCGTTTGTCGATGAAGGAACTCTCCATGACGTTCTTGAGGAAGCCTTCATGACATGTGAAACTAAATTGCTGACATGTGAAGATAAACTTCAAAATAATTAATCATTGGTTTACAATAACAACGAAAATAAAACATAGTTTTTATTTCAATTTTTTTATTCATTTACATATTATGTAGTTTGTTTACAGTTTTATTTAGCAATTCTCAATCAAATCATCATAAATTAAAGCAAATCAAATGAAATTCTTAAATGTTAGAAAACTCTTCTTTTAAGCATCAATTAAAAAAATGCAAAATTTCTTGTTTTTATAAATGACTTCACGCTTTATAAATGATGTCATTGGGTTAGCCGTAATATTTACCGCCACTTGTACTAGAGGGTGGTGCGTGGTGGCCTTATAAACAGCTCCTCCGCCGTTTCGCATGAGGCTCTGAGGAAATAAACCATCGCCTTCCTTAGAAGGTCTCAATGTGTGACGGTATCGGAGTCATACAGGAATGTTGTACCATCTTCAATACGGTGGCTGGCGTGTGTATCGTCTCTTCTGTCGGCACGTCGCAGAATTCTGTAGTGGATTGCCCGTCTTGAGCTGAGTTATGCCTTAACCTGGCTCTTAATGGTGGATGACCCTTTGTTCTTAGCCTTTACTAAGGCTGAGAACAAAGGTTCTACGTATGGTTGCGAGAGGTCGTGAATCGCCGGTCTTACCTTCTGTGAGCTAGTGATGTAGCGGAAGGAAGCTGTGGAGAGGAAAACGGGAAAAAAGCAGATATCCTAATCCGCAGTAAGAGCTATGCGCCGGAGGAGAATATATCAAGTCATTCTTCACCCGAGGCTTAGGCGGCGGATGCGAGGTTTGTCTATCTCCCTACACGTAACGTAGGCAGAGGGGGCAAACGATGTTTTTCATTTGAAAAAGAGGTGGAGAACTCCAAATCCACTACCTCGACGCGATGAAGCTTTAGATTACCACTGTCGTACCTAGGAATGCCAGATCGGAAGATCAAAATATCTGGATAAAATTTGAAAATGTCGAGATTTTGGCGTTGTTATCGGTAGAAACAAATACTATAAAGAAAAATATAAAATAAAAAGTTTATTTTTTTAATTAAGAGGCCAACAAAGTGCTTTATTCAAAACTAATCATTTTTAGATTGCCACATGCATTTGGCATTGGCATTTACTAGAGTCGACCAATTTGGATCCTTTAGTAGTATTCAGAAATAATTTTAAAATTCAAACAATTTACTTCAAAGTTGAGTCTAATAACTACCTCAGCTTTTATTAAATCAAAAGCAGCTGTTTGTCTAAAGATTTTGTGTTTTGTCGGGAGTGTGGAGATCGTTTAAAATGTCGGGAGAATCCACACGAATCCCGACCATCTGGCAACCCTAGTCCTACCTGCGGTAGTGTGCGAAAGCGTTTTTTTAAACGTATTTCACTTTACTATAATTTATTTTGTACAATTTTTGAATCAATTTACATAGAACCAGCATGGTGGCGATCATCTCATTCCCAGGGGTTATTTTCTTTTATGTATTCATTTATATTATAATAACCCTTTTAGTACAATTTTTCTTTAATAAAACATTTAAACTTGTTTAATGACAAATTTTGTACATTTTCTGGAATTTTTGCGTACACATTGCCCCATAAATGAATTACTAATTCTGTGGAGTCTAGTAATTCGCATTATAAGCTTATGTTTGTTCCTAGTGTTTAAAGTATGAACATCTTTAGCAGCCAGGAAAGCTATTTGTGTTTTTATGTACACAGATTACATTTTTAGTAAATATATATTGCGATACCAAAGTTAATATGTTTAAATTTTTCTCTAAGGGACTCTTTATAATTTAAGTTTATTTTGCAAAACAAATATGACTTCAATATCAGTCACATTACCCAATAGCAGTATTCATCATAATGACATTCACTTGCACTTGCAGTGATAGATAATATAGTAGTAATACATATTTAAACGCGTTATATGTACTTAATAATTACATACATAAGTTAAGATTGCCCCGTTGGTTTAGTGGTCGTAAACGCGACTGCTGATCATGAGGGCCCGGGTTAGAGTCCCAGGTCGGGCCAACAGTAATCAGTTTCCAAACAAAAATTCTCCTTAGTAGCTCGTAGTCAGGAAGTTGGCGGTGTTTCATCCCCGTGCCTTGGAAAGTACGTAAAGCCGTTGGTTCTGCTGGTCCTGCGCTTAATCTCTCTCCGGTTGTGTCGAGTTGCTGTTCTATCGTAGCAGATGGCTAGTCTCCGTTGCGACGGGCCGTGACCGAATTTCGGTCTGAAGGACATTATTATTATTACACTAGATATGCCCCGCGACTTCGTCCGCGTGGAATTTATTACGATTGAATTTCATGGCCTTTATTTTTTTTTTGCGGAATCCTGCGTCTTTTACTAAAATAAAAGTAGCTTAAGTTACTTTTTATAATATCAGCTATCTGCCAGTGAATGTCCCGTCAAAATAGGTCCAGCTGTTTTGGAAATTACCAAGAACAAAAAAACGGACAGACAGATAAAAAATTTAAAAATTGTTTTTTGTTATAAGTACCATTCCCCATGTGTCGCGAAGCTAGGCGCACTAAAGACCAGCGAACATATGTCCCCTCGCTTTACAAGGCCTTATAATCCAGGTTAATATGTTTAATGATGTGCTTATCCTTTCCAGGGTACAAGTGGCACTGTGCGCCGCTGTGTGCCTGTGCTTGCTGCCAGGGGGCACTGCTCAGCCAACTGCATGTCGTCTGGATGCAAATTGCCCAGTCGGATTCTACTGTGAACCTGATCTACTATTCTGTCGCGAGTGCTTGCGCTGTGAAGACCTCAAGCGCAAGCCCCCACCATCACTAACTTCATGCATAAAGTCCGTAGCGGAGTGTGGCCCCTGTGATAAAGGGTAAGTGTGTAATATTGTTCTAACATCTATGTAAATGGGATGAGAGCTGAGTGGACTGTATTATGTTTTATTTAGGGAGAAAACTGAACTACTGTGAAGAAAGCTAATTACTGTGACATCTGTCTGACTAATAACTTTGAGACGAAATTAAAGAACTTTAAAATAATCACTATATTGAACACTATTTACAATTAATTTGCGGCAGTTAATACTAAACACTATATGAACCTAATTGGGATCTTGAGGGCTTCTATCTTGCTTGTTCTGTCTTGAGAGCTGTAGCCGCGCGGGTGACGAAATCTCGCCAGAAGCGCTTCTTTTATTTCGGCGGTCGCTGTAACGTAGACACAGAGTTGGTGCGAGGGTTTGTCCTTGCGGGGCCCTGTTCTGATGCAGAGTGCGGGAGACGTGTCGACGTGGGTGCGGTGGGGGGCGACTGACGATTACTTCTTCGCCGTCCGCAACAACCTAGGTTCTTTTTTCTTATCATGTGAGATTTTTCAGTTGTAGTCCTCTAGTGTAGGAAACGAGAGATGTATAATTCATAATACTTCTATTTTTTCAGGTTGGTGGAAGACCATCGTGGCGATGTAAACGCTCAGTGCTTGCCCAAAAGCGAGAGAGACGTTGGTGATGGATTCCCTTTGTACGGTTGGGTGCTGGTTGCTGTGCTGTGCGTGCTTGTGCTCGTGTTGATTGGTGGTATCCTGTGGTATGTGCTCAAGCACCCAGATACCTTAAAAATTCTCGCGTGTAAGTACATGATTTAATTGTATATTTTGATAGTGTACCACCACATAGATTTATCATATTTTTAATTACTTTTGGTGACGGCATAAAAATGCACTATTGCTTGTTGTCTCACATATATCCACTTAATTTTGTATTTGGACAAACGGCATACGACATGTCTGAGATCTGAGGTTGTTCCGTGGAACTCTTCATTGTAGGTTCAATCATAGGTCGAGCTTGTTAAAGTTCAAATATTTATAAGTGCAACAGATTTTGTAGCTTTGTAACCCTCTCCAAGAGAATAGAAAAAATTAGGCGTGTAATAAACTTGCCAAAATAATGTTAATGATGTCACCCTTGTCCAAATGACGGCCATAATATCTTCCCTGCAATTTTCTACCATGGCGAGAGTTTTAGTCGGATAATAATAGTACCTACCATGAGTGTACACGTAAATGTAGAGGTCCACCTTTCCTAACCTAACCGTGCCCAATATAGCGCTTGTACAGTATTAGAATCTATCGTAAGAAATACGAGACATGATTATCTGTTGTGATCAACACTGGCTCCAAAATAGTAAAGGGATCGAAGTAAGGACCTGCGGCGTAGGATAAAATATCCAACAATTGAAACTGGTTTTTTTTTTCAAAAGTTTTTTTCTTATTTAGGTACATAATTTTAATGAATATCGTTTCATTATATTGTATGTATTGGTTGGATGTTATCTCTACTCCAAATTAATACAAAATTAAGTTGCTTGATTCAATCTGTGAATGTTACGTACACTTTTTATTGATATACACATACCAGAGAGTATAAAAATGTGTGTTTTTGTAATAATGTCATATATGTGTATTGCAAGTGTATTTGTTGAATAAATAAATAAGTAGATACAGGTATTGTAGCTAATGGTCGTCAAATTGTTAGCTGTTAATATATCGAATATAGACATGGGACGAGTACTTTGTTTGGATTCGGTACTCGGCGGATTCGGCCGAGCACCGAGTATTAACGGCCGAGTACCGAGTACAAAAAGCCAGTTTTTATCATTATTATTATATTAGACACATTAAAACAGGAACATGAGAACCAGCAGACATATTGAGAACGTACATAATAATCTTTAATAGAAATTATTATTGCTAATATTTCAAATTTAAAAGAAATAGATTGTGATGCAAAAACAGTAGTTTTTCGGTCTATTTGGGTCTAGCTTGCTACTTTTTGCTTCATCATTTGTACATTGTATCAAAAGAAAAGTATCGAGTTAGTACTTGTATTTACTTGTATCATTTCATCCCTAACTCTGTGTAAGGGAAATAACCGCGCACCGCCCGCTACCGTGTTTGTTTAAAGCCGAATATTCGACCGAGTACTCGGCCTAAATTGGGCCGAATACTCGGCGAATCACTACTCGTTCCATGTCTAATCGAACACTTGTTTTGATTGCTCAGCCACAAGTACATCAATGCAGTCGCGTTGCGAGCGAAGTGTGGTCCCCGCGACTGCGCCGGAGCATCCGCCGCCGTATAACGCGCTGTACACCGCAGTGCAACCATCGCCCCCGTCGCCACCCCTGCCACACTCGCCGCTGCCTCCTGCCGCTTCCACTCTTGCCAATAGCGAAACTGACTACCAACCGCACGATGAAGGTAATTTTGCATTTGTTTATCCCTTAGATCCTGGTTGATTCCGAACGTTGCGTCATCTTGAAAACACTGTAAAACGCTATTAACTGAGAGTAGGTAGTAATGCCACAAGTGTCGTACAGTGTACTAGCATAATACAACCGGATCCTTTTTTCTGTTTTACACGCATGTTGGGTTTGTTCAAACCTTAGAACCCACGGATGCAGTAGCTAAATGCTTTGTTTACTGAGCCACTTTGTTATCATTCATATGATTGCGTCGACCTATTCCAATACAACTTCAATGTATCATATACCAGAAGTGTATAATGTACATTACCTGTAATATACACCTATGTAATCACAGAAGTCTAAATAAGAAGGTACTCATTTTGATTTCTGTGTATGTAACATTATTATACAATACACGATTAGGAAATTGAATCATTAATGAAACAGTTGTTACCCATAAATTCAAATGGTTCAAATCGTAAAGGGTTGTTGTTTACGGTATATTGAGGATGTGGGTCTTAAGTTGGTTTTGGTGGTGTGTTCAGAGTCGTCGCTGCCGTTCATCAAGCGCGCGGCGTCGGGGCGCACGTGGGAGGCGCGCGAGTCGCGCGAGTCGGCCGGCCGCCAGGCGGCGCGCGTTTTTAACAACCCGGCCTACGTGCGCGGTGCGCAGCCGCCGCCCGGGTAACTCCACAACCACGCAATCACTACACTATACAACACTACACTACACGAAATCACACGACACTACACTACACTACTACACTCACGACACTACACTACACTACTACACTCACGACACTTCACTACACTAAACTACCCTACTCTACACTATATTACACCACACTACACCACACGTTACCATTTCTTATCTTCGGATACTTACTATCATTAAATTTCATAGTGGTGTCAAGTCACCAATCAGTCACTAAATCTCGACATAACATAACTCACGATATCACTAGGAACGATTAGAGCTTGAAGGACATTTTAAATCTATGTTTAACCATCTTTGTTTAACTAAATCGGTGAAACACCATGTTGAAAGTTGACTAAAATAATCATTTTGAATCAGTAAAACATATATTTATAGTAATTGTATGTATTTTTCTCAGTTTTTTTAAATTAGTTTACATAGACCTGGCATCAAATATCTGATTTAAAAATAATGAATAGTAATGTTGTACCTCACACTAAAGCGTTTGAAGATTTTGATTTGACATCTTTATATTAAATTTTTCACTATTACTTCACTATCACTCGGTTTCACAGAATCTCTTGCTAATTTCAAGGGATGCAATAAATGCAGGCAAGGTTGACACTAGAAATATTCCCTCTTTCTAGTCTATTAACATCTTATTATGTCAGGTCGTTACCTGACATATTGCCTTTTATATAGAAATATAACCTTTGATAACTCTGCTATAGAATTCCCAAAATCAATGAAGTTCTTAAAGGTATTTTATAATGCCTTGTTGAAGTTTTAATTTTTATCCAAAAAGTTATCCAAATTCTGGAATGAAAAAGGAACTAAAAAAGTAGTAGTTGAAAGCGAGATCTGCCATAAAATATGTTGGATGACGAAGAATTTGACTGCAAAGCAGTCTAATTCTCCAGCCAAACAGTACAAAAAATTCATGACAAAGTGAATTATTAAGTGAAAGTTCAAACCATTTATTCACCAAATGTGTATAAAAAATTAAAATATATATGATTAAAACTACTTTTACGGATTTTATCGCGTTTATTTTTACTTTTTTTTTAACCATGGTCACGCGGGACCATTGGTGCTGGAAAGCGCCCGAAACGTCGGGAATTAAAAATAAAAGTAAATAAAAAGTAAAAATAAACGCGATAAAATCCGTAAAAAGTAGTTTTAATCATGTATAGTGTTCGCGTAAATATAAGAAATCATTAAAAATATATGTTAGAGTTTGTGTAGTTATTATTTACTTATTAAAGTTCTTTACCTCTGCCTGTAAAAGTATGTAGCTAGACATGGATGCCATAATTGCTATGCTACATACCTTTCATGCTGCTCCCCATCGTGGGTGTGAGTATTTTATGTCAAAACAGGATGGTTATACCGCCATTTGTCTAGATGGTTGATCTTGATGATTTATGTAGATGAAGAATGCTGGGCCTTTCTGGCGTTGCACAGGAAATGGGGAGACAATTTTCTTAAACAGCCACAAAGTTGCAAAAATTTTAGGAAATTTTTGCAACTTTGTTGCTAATAATAATCAATGGTTAAAATATTAACAAAAAACCAAGTAGTTAAGAGTTTATTAATATAATATGTATTGTTATATGGTCTAGTGGTTGTAGTAGTGCGACTGCTGATCATGAGGTCCTGGGTTCGAATCCTGGGTCGGGCCAAAAAAATAATTATTGAGTCTTTCCGTCAAGAAATTCTCAGTAGTTGCTCGGAGTCAGGAAGTTGGCGGTGTCTCACCCCCGTGCCTCGGAAAGCACGTAAAGCCGTTGGTCCCGCGCCTGATCTCTCTCCGGTCGTGTCGGTTTACCGTCCCATCGGATTATGAGAGTGAGGGAATAGAGAGTGCACCTGTGCTTGCGCATACACTTGGGCACTATAATCCTGTCCTGCGTCGATGGCTAGCCTGCGTTGAGGCAGGCCGCCGTGGCCGAAATTCGGTCTGGAGGACATTATTATTATTATTATATGTGTTTACAAAAGCTCGTTTGTTTTGTCTTTTGTATGCCTATGAAAGAGGCCTTATTTATGACAGGAGGGACCAATTTACTTTTTAAGATGTAGCTTCTGAGTTTTATAACAGATTTAGTTAGAAAATAGAATAAGGTCAGAAATATACCAACACTTGTTTGTTTTGTATGATCAGGTGATTTTATTGTTTAGTTACGACACGGCCGTAATGAAAAGTGTGAAGGATCCAGAGGTGACAGATCAAGATGAGGACACCATGGAGAGCACGTGGACGCCTTCGGAAAACACCGACCAAAACGACAACTCTAAGTGAGTATTGAAATTTATTGTTCGTACGGATAAATAATGGGATTGGAAATAGCGCCTCATCGTGCACGTACCGTCAACATGCACAGTCTTTGAGTATTCAACCAATTGGAGAGACTATGCGCTTTAAAAACAAAAAGTCTGTCAATATCAAGAAAAACAATACTGTATACTTCACTAAAAATGCAAAAATGAATCGTGTCACTATACACGCACACTACTTTTGTATGTGTTCATTGCGTTTATGCATTACATCAAATTGTACAAGTGTCGATACACTGGTGCCGCTATGTACATGCGTAAGCAACATAAGGCGAGGACTATGTCGATATTTTTATCGATATACAAATCATCATGGACCGCATAAGTTCAGCGTTGGTGAAAGTGATTTTTAGTATTTTTTCATTCCTTACAGTCCTTCACAAATCCGCTGCTGAACATAGGCCTCCTCCAAGGGGTGCCAAAGCACGGTTCTGATTCACCTGCGTCCATCGACTTTCTCCATGTCTTACCAGGTCGTCACTCCATCTATTAGGGGGTCGCCCTGCACTTCACCCATCGATAGGTATCCAAGATTCATGCTTTCTACAAGCTGCAATCTAAGTCTGCCGCTTGAGAGGATCTCTCGGAAATATGTAAAATCAATCCTTGGGCACAGGCTTGACGGGTATAAGGGGTACTCACTTAGATTTATTTAAATACTATCTTAAGAATCGCAAGCAGAAAGTAATGATAGGTGAATACTTAAGCGATGAATCAAATATAACATTCAGAGTTTGTTTTTAATCTACATAAATAATCTTATCAACATGGACATTAACAAGAGAAACATAATCTCCCATGCAGATGATACTGCAGTAATATTTACTGGTGACTCCTGGGATTCTGTTCATAGATCTGCTGAAGAAGACCTTGCTGGGATCGCTACGTAACTGAACACTAACTTACTGACTTTAAATACTTTGAAAACTAGTTACATACGTTTTACAAATTATATTCGAAGTTAGCCTAATATTAATTTCCAAATTAAACTTCACACATGCTATGATCCCTTAAGTACTAGTTGCAGCTGTTCATTATTTAGTACGATCTCTCAGACCAAGTAGTTAGGAGTCATAGTTGACCAACATTTGTCATGGCATATACACATTGAATTAATCATGAATATACTTAGGAAACTTACGTGGACATATAAAACACTAAGACGAAAAAGTTACTGTACCAAATATATATTGCTTTGGCTCAATATTTTAGTATATTGTATTCCTGTTGAAGCTACAAAAATCTAATTTCTAAACTTCAAAATGGCACAGAGAAATTGACTAAAAATTGTGCATTTTAAACCAAAAAGATTCCCTACAGGAGATCTTCATGCCATAAGTAATGTATACTGTTAGAAAACCGTAAATCATATATTCGGTTCGAAGACTGCATAAAGGTTTAACTGTTTTTTTTTTTTAAGGGTGACAAACGAGCACACAGTCCACCTGATGGTAAGTGGTTGCTGCGGCCCATAGACATCTACATCTATCCTCCATTAAAAATCAAAATGCAGATGCGTTGTCACCCGTGAGGACTGAGATGGAATGCCTCGTTTCCAGTAAAAAGGGTCTCCGGTTCTCTACACTCACCATACGAAATACAGCAGCATTAAGCTACTATTTCACGCTGGTATTCTGTGAGAGCGTGGTCCTTCCCCGGTCGAGCCGACCCATTCGTGCTACAACTATACTACTAATATAACTGCAGCATGGCTCTACCACGTTCGAAATTGTAGCCAAAAAAGAAGGAAAAACGTAGTGGCTACAGCTGTCGCTGTTAAAACTGTTTTAGCAAAGAGGCAATATGTAAAACAGTCAGCGACTCTATACAACGCCATTAATAAAAGCATAAAAATTCTCACCTTTACTACCATAATTGCAATCATATTATAAACACTCACGCCTGTCCGGCCGGTGGGCCGGTCATATAGTGCATATACATATATCAGTATTGCTCACCAAGTATATTTTGGCATTTCCAGTTGATTGGTAGTGAGAATCTCATGCCGCGAACACACTGATAACAATAATTTAGTGATTGGTAAAGTTTAATATATACCGTGTAGTAGCGGTGTAAGGGTATCCACTACCCCATATCATACATAACATAAGAAACTGAGCTCCCCAACCCGTCTACTAACCCTGACCTAAAAGGCAACTTATGATAAGTTGTGATAAATGAATGAAAATATTTTATATGAATGTTTGTGCAGTGGCGCGGCGGCGGGCAGCGATGGGGAGGGATCGCAGCTGCCGGCGCTGCTGGCAGCCGCGCGTGGCACTGCGCTCGTGCGCTCGCACTACGACCTCACGCGGCAGGTAGCTATGCACACGCACACACACACGTACACACGGGCGCGCTGCTGGCGGCCGCGCGCGGCACCGCGCTCGTGCGCTCGCACTACGACCTCGCGCGGCAGGTAGCTATGCACACGCACACACACACATACACACGTACACACGGGCGCGCTGCTGGCGGCCGCGCGCGGCACCGCGCTCGTGCGCTCGCACTACGACCTCGCGCGGCAGGTAGCTATGCACACGCACACACACACATACACACGTACACATGGGCGCGCTGCTGGCGGTCGCGCGCGGCACTGCGCTCGTGCGCTCGCACTACGACCTCGCGCGGCAGGTAGCTATGCACACGCACACACACACATACACACGTACACACGGGCGCGCTGCTGGCGGCCGCGCGCGGCACCGCGCTCGTGCGCTCGCACTACGACCTCGCACAGCAGGTAGCTATATCACACACACACACACACACACACACACACACACACACACACACACACACACGCACACACACACGCACACACACACACACACGCACGCACACGCACGCACACGCACGCACACGCACGCGCACACACACACACACACACGTACATACACACACGTACACACACACACACGTACACACACACACACACACACACGTACACACACACACGTACACACGGGCGCGCTGCTGGCGGCCGCGCGCGGCACCGCGCTCGTGCACTCGCACACACGGGCTTGCAACTTTCACAAAAGTTACACAACGTACACAAAAATTTATTTTACACATATATATAATAACCGATAGCGTTGGTACACCCGGAGGCGCACTTATTATTTTATTAATTTTACCGAGTTTGTTAAATAAATGTTTTTATTCTAAGAATAAAATATTTTAAAAATAGTTATCGTTATTGTAATGAAAGTACTACAAAGTACTACAGTACGGCATTTCGTTAACATGCTAAATTCTCCTGCGGGTGTACGTGTAAATACGCCGCACGTAGCGACTTTTGATGTTGCGGTGGCGCCTTTGACAAGATGCGGCACGTGCCAAGGCGGCACAACACAAAGGCGATCGTATCTATGCGAACAGATTATATAAAAATAAGAATGTTATTCTGTCATTCCAAATTTTCATTCACAATATTCTTGTTGTTGTTCAAATTGTTCCTACAGGATCCGAACAACAATGGCAGCCGCAGCAATGGGGAACCGTCCTTTGTATGCGGGGAAGGTGGTAGTGGTTCCAACAATGCGCCTGGCGGTTCTTCGTTCATCATCAATGTGGTACAAACTATCAACACGGTTAAACAGCGAGGAGACATTGGCCACTGACCTTAGTGTACACTGAAGTCACGTCCTCTTGATCTTGGCAATACGACCTGCTCAATTTATTAAAAAAAACTAAGGTGTATAGAATCGACTTTAGCCAATTAATTACTGATGGTCTCAATTCATCCTAAACTTAGGTAGGATTTTTAATATGACGGTGCGTCATAACGGTATTTATATTATGTACCTAGTCGAATAACGGTTCTGGTAGCACTTGTTTACATGCGAGGTGATTTTAGTTTGTAAAAAATATTCGTTTGTATTTCGCTTTTTTTTCGGTTAATACTTTCCAAGTAAAATATTAGTGATATTTAAAAGGATAGTAAATAGTTTTTGGTATGTAAAGGTTAGTTTTATAATATATTTCTAGAATATTCGATAAAAAAGGATAGGTAGAATAGAATAATTCTGTTTTGTCATGTTGAGTGCAACTTTTTAATGCAATTAAAAGTTTTAATTACTGGTTTTACTAATTAAGGCTTTTTTACACTGTCTTGATTGTTAAACCTAGATATTGTAAGATCCTCAGCACTATTTAACCAAACCAATGTTTAATTGTTGATGTGTATTGTATATTGTAGCTGTATAAATAAATATAGTAATAAGTTCACTAGCATTGTTTTATCATAGTTAATTTTAAATTGCTATATTGCATGGTTGTGGGGAGAGTGAAGTCTTTTCTATCGCTCAATATATTTTAAAATATACTCGTAATAAAACCAGTTTAGTTTTATTACATTTTTTACATTGAGAGGTATATTGATGCCATAAGGAAAGATATGTTATTAAAGTCATTAATAAACAAGAAATAAGTTCCAATTACGTCTTTTTAGGTTAGTTTTAAAATCATCAACCTCTGGTGGACTTACGGTGTTGACACTGTTGATCTTGGGGCTACTTATAAGTAGGAAAGCTTTGTTGTTACGAGCACTTCTTACATGGATTGATGGCCATGTTTCCTGGAGTTGACTGTTTAGTTCAAGTTCTGGGTTATTCGACATGGTTTTGCCACCAACTGTTTGCTTGTTGTCGAAATTGACGATTTCATTTTGTCGGGAGAAGGTTGGATATTGATATCTCTAATGCTGCCACCACACGGGTTTTGGTTATTGAGTTAAGTTACTTATCTTATTTTGATTTTGTATTTTTTTTTAATTTCATAATACTCTTTTTTTAAAATCAAGTAACCTCAAGTAAATACGCTAGAGTTTCGGTTTTTTTTTACTCATAAACGAATATTAGGCATATTTTTGAGTCAGTTAAAATATCGCTTATTGTTTCATATTATGTTTGTTTTTATTATAAAGTTTTATATAAAATAGTTACGTCCGCAATGTAAGTGCATTGTTCCCATCGTTGCGGGCGTAACTTAGCATAATTTGAGACATTACATTGATATGTCCCGTAAATAATGTTTATACATTCAATCGTTTTCGAGTAAATTTTTACATTAAATTCACTTTAAAAATCAAATATGCAAACATAAAAAAGCCGAGTTGATAAAAATTCAAATATAACACACAAACACTACAACTACGTGTATCGTGGCGTGGTGGTCCGGCAGATCATGATGTGTCTGTTACATAAGATGTACATATATCTAAATGTAACCTACTTGTGAAAAATAAATAAAAATCAACTCGCTTAGAACTTCAGATGATTTCCGATTCAGAGAGATCAGATTAAAATAGTTAAGTAGTCCTACCCTCAATAAGCTCTGATGATGTTCTGTATAAATCAATATAGCGGATTATACAAAAGACAATAAGCATCGCACGACCATCCTTGAATATTATTTTTTCTGGCACAGTTGCGGCACAAAATTAATTATTGATTTCCTACATAATATCAAATTAAAGCATAATGATTTACTTAATATGTCGATATGTATTTTGAACTAATTAAGAAAAAAGCACATTAAAATATTATAAATTGGAGTAATAAGTGCTTGCTTGTTGATCTAATCGACTTTCATTTATTATTAAAAATGTTTCTCACTATATTAAAATGATTTCTAAACTTCGTGGTAGTATAATTCACTAGGATAATAAAAAGGAATGAATATAAACAATAAAGTAACTTAAATATAATGGATTCTTCATTTCTAGGAACTGTACAGTTTATTTTTACTGTCCATATAATATAATTTGGGCCTTAATAAATGATAAAGATTGTGTTTTATTATTATTAGGTAAATTTGAAGTCATATAAATGATATAATAAAAATTCTAAATACACACATGATGCATTGTGTTTGGTAAAAATTACTGTACAACAGTTTTAATGTTACCATAAATTACGATTTAATTGGAAAGAAAAGTTTAATTAATGAAAAGTGTAAGGCAGTATCCAGTATCTTAGACTGCAATATGAATTCATATGCACTAGAATATAGTTCTCAGTTTATTAACTTAGTTATTTCAATAAATTAAATTATTCATTGCCATCTTTCCCCACAACTCGGTATTACTATCTACTCGATTGGGAATTAAAAATTAAACTGGTGTAATTATTACAATATGTTATATCGATTAATTCAAATAGTCTTCCTATGTATTTATATTGTACTTATATTAAAAAGTTATTTATTGTTAATATTGCCATTTTAGTCTTAAGCCTTTTTAAACATATTGCTTCCAAGTACAGGTTATACGTTAAAATATGTGTCGTCGATACTTGGTTTTAAATGATATGCGATATAATTTCTACTTGGAAGTGACGTCTAACGTTACGTTTATTTTTAATCACTAGCTACTAATGTTAATGTCATTCGGGAATATTCTAGTAGGATAATTTTAAAATCAGTACTACTAAACCTGTAGCGTCGTTTTAAAGGTTAAAGAAAGGAAAGTATAAACATCTCACAGCTTGGAACAGATATTCGTATTTCTGAGAAGATTTTAGTGGAGCCATTACTTGCTCCACTAAAATCTTGCTTGTCTGACGCTGCTCCATTCTGCTTTATTATTTTTCCTGTCCTTTGAAATATTTTTTATCTCCGAGACATACAGGTTTAAGCTTTGTTTTCAATCACTGCCCACAACGTTGTAAATTCTTTGTAAAAGTAAACTAATTTTTACATAATTATTCGGAATATTCTACATTACAACTATCTTTGCATGCCGTTTGAATCAGATGTTATCACATATTGAATCACTTGTACTTAATTTTTGGCAACGAGTCATACACACATAAACACATATATATGAAGTAATTGTTTTTCAATTTCATTTTAAAAAAGAACAAATACGTACGTAATTTAAATAGAACGTGTAACTGTTTAATTATTTTTCTATCTTTGCTGCGCCAATATCTTTTCAACGTAATACAAGCTAGTTTAGCAGTTTTATTTTAAAGTTTTTACCAGAAACAATGTTTTAAAAAAATCTATATGCTTCTCAAAGTCATATAAATGATATAATAAAAATTCTAAATACACACATGATGCATTGTGTTTGGTAAAAATTACTGTACAACAGTTTTAGGGTTACAATAAATTACGATTTAAATGTAAAGAAAAATTAAATTAGTGAAAACTATAAGGCAGTATCTACTATCCTAGACTGCAATATGAATTCATATGCACTAGAATATAGTTCTCAGTTTTTTATTTCATTAAATTAAATTATTGATTGCAATCATTCTTCACAACTCAGTTGCCAAAGGATAGGGAATAAAAAATTGAACAGGTGTAATTATTATTACCTGAACAATTTGTATACCTTATAGATTTACAGATATATTTATTACCTTCGACTTATATACTGAATAAATATACTATACTTCCGTGAGTTGCGTGATTGAGTAAAATGCCGCGTTAGTCGTTATCTGTGAGGTTTTTAGGATCTATCTACTTGTTATTAAAAAAATATATCAACTAATAAAAATCTATTAAATTTCTACATAATCTTGATTCAATAATAGCCAATTCCAATTTTCTTAAAAGGAGTAAACACTTGATGAATCTTCCTACAACTAAACCACAGAAATGCGAAATAATTATTGATAACATGCATCTCCTCATAAATTAAGCATTATTTCATTTTGCGATTGTCACTAATGGGTAGGCAATTTATTAATGAACATTTTGATCTAATTAATTTTTTCAAAGGACAAAAATTTGATTTTATAAAGAAAATATTTTAAAATTTGATATATTGTAGTGATAGCGCGTGGTATTTATAGGACCGAACGCTCAATGTAGCTCGCTAAGAGTAGTGCCTTAAATTGTATGTTTTATAAATAAGAAAAGCATTGAAATAGTTAGATGCGCCTTCACGTTGAAAACTGTGTCATTATTTTTGGATATGTTCGTTTCCAAGACGCTGACGCGCGCACACTATTGCAATAGTGTCTTCTCTTATTATCTTACAGAAATTAAGTATACTACTTTCTCTGTCACACAAAGGAGCACTGATTGCGAATGAGTGAGCTCACTCATTTGAGAATGGACACATTTCGGAGTGGTCAACTATGTTAAGGGCGCATCTAACTATTTAAATCTTTGTACTATGTTATATCGATTAATTCAAATAGTCTTCCTATGTATTTATATTGTACTTATATTAAAAAAAAGTTATTGATTGTTAATATTGCCATTTTAGTCTTATGCCTTTTTAAACATATTGCTTCCCAGTACAGGTTATAAGTTAAAAATATGTGTCGATACTTGGTTTTAAATGATATGAGATGTAATTTCTATTTGGAAGTGACGTCTAACGTTACGTTTATTTTTAATCACTAGCCACTAATGTTAATGTTATTCGAGAATATTCTAGTAGAATAATTTTACAATCAGTACTACTTACGCCGTGGCGTCGTTTTAAAGGTTAAAGACAGAAAAGTATAAACATCTCGCAGCTAGGCACAGATTTTCATATTTTTGAGAAGATTTTAGTGAAGCGAGTAAGTCTGCCGCTGCTCCACTTTTCCTGTCCTTTGATATATTTTTTTCCAAGACATATTACAGGTTTAATCTTTGTTTTCAATCACTGCCCACCACG